GGTGTTTCGGGTCTGGGGCGCGCTCACCCTTGTTCGCGATGCCAAAGCGAACAAGCTCTCCTCTCGCACTCTCCACTGCGTCTTCGTTGGCTTCCCCACCGACGCCCCGCCGTGGAAGTTTTACCACCCACGCTCGCGTCGAGTCTTCTCCTCCCAGGACGTCACCTTTGACGAGTCTGTCTGTTACTACAGGCTACACCCGCACGCGTCCCAACTGGTCCCCCTAGCGCCTCTTTTCTTGGTACTGGTCCCCCTCCCGGTAGACCCCCCCCCCCCCACAGGGTCTTGCTCCCTCAGGTGTGTCTTGGGTACACCCACCCCCCTTGGTTGAGCCTTTGGAGGTCTATTCTGACTCCTCGGGCCCTGCGACCCTGGGGGTCCTACGAGTCCTAGTGGCGGTGGAGCTGTGGGTGACCCTGCTGGAGACCCTGGAGCTGGACAGCCACTGCAGCCTGACCTACTTGAGACGCTCTTGCCGCAGGCGATTCGTGCGTGGATCGTTCGGCGAGGCAGTCCTTGTGGTGGAGGGTACAGTCCTGCAGGTGCTAGAGCTGCTAGTCCTGGAGGTACTGCTGCTGCTGGAGGTACTGGAGGTACTGCTGGTGCTGGAGGTACTAGAGAAACTGCTGGTGCTGGAGGTGCTGCTAGTGCTGGAGGTGCTAGTCCTAGAGGTGCTACTGATGCTGGAGGTGCTGGACCTACTAGTCCTGGAGGTACAGCTGGTGCTGGACGTGCTGGAGGTGCTGCTGGTGCTAGAGGCGCTGGAGCTGGAGGTACTGGAGGTGCTGGAGCTGCTGTTCCTGGAGGTGCTAGAGCTGCCGGAGCTGGTGGTGCTGTTCGTGCTGGAGGTGCTACTGGAGCTACCGGAGCAGGTGGTACTGCTGGTGCTGGAGGTGCTGGAGGTGCTACTGGAGCTTCTGGCACTGGAGGTGCTGGAGGTACTGCTGGTGCTGGAGGCGCTAGAGCTGGAGGTACTGGAGGTACTGGAGGTGCTGGAGCTGTTAGTCCTGGAGGTGCTCGTACTAAAGGTACTGGACCTGCCAGAGCAGGTGGTGCTATTGGTGTTGGAGGTGCTGAAGCTGCTACTGGAGCTACTGGCACTGGAGGTGCTGGAGGTACTACTGGTGCTAGAGGTCCTGGCGCTGCCAAAGCTAGTGGTGCTGCTAATGCTAGAGGTGCTGGAGGTGCTGCTAAAGCTACTGGTGCTATAGGTGCTGGTGCCGCTGGTGCTGGAGGAGCTGGAGCTGCTGGTACTTCCTTGCGCATACCGTTTTTCTACCTGCAGCCGCAGTCGTCCTTGCCGCCGCCTGACTCGGTCCTTCGCCAAGTCTCCCGTCTTCCACTGGCCTCCCTCTACCCCTCCAGTGTCCACCGACAGACCAGTCTCAGCCACAGCTACTGCCTGGCTCCTCGCTGCCTGCGCCTGCTCCTCACACTGAGGTGATTGAGTCCCTGACTGAGCGTCATGAGCTTGAGACTTGTGCTTCGACACCTGTTCGTGCTTGTCATGTCGCCCGTCCTCGTCCTCCTGCTGTCCCAGGCACTCAAGGTATGGCACTTCGTCCTTCCTCTGTTCCACAGCGTGTTGTCCTGCCTGAGCCTCGCGCGTCCTCTCTTCCGCACATTCCTGACCCTGAGTCCGACCTTGCTCGTGCTGCCAGTCCTACTGTCACTCGTCTCCTCGCTAATATCGTCACTGACCCTGACCTTGAGTCTACTGCAGCGTTTTCCCGAGTCACTGAGCTAGTCGACTTTGCAGCTAGGAGTCGTCTCGACTACGTCGCGAGACTTGTCACTGAGTCTGAGTCTGTCTGTCCTCCGTCCGTCGGGGGTGAGCTTTCCCTTGGCAGTGACGTACTTGAGGACAGAACGTTTGAGCTTGAGTGTCTTGCGGCCGCTTTATCTCGTTTCGCATCCATGCTGCTTTTCCCTGAGGGAGACCCAGATGCACTTGACATCCCTACCCCGCGCTCTTACGCTGAGGCAATCGCGACTGAGTACTCCTCTCAGTGGCAGACAGCCATGGACGCAGAGATGGCTTCCTCGAAGTCCACACGCACCTACTTCGACGAGGTTCCTCCTCCTGGGGCGAACATAGTCGATGGCATGTGGATTTTCATAGTGAAGCGACCGCTGGGTTCTCCGCCTGCCTTCAAGGCGCGTTACGTTGCTCGAGGCTTCAGTCAGCGACAGAGGGTCGACTTCTTCCAGACCTTCTCCCCTACCCCGAAGATGACTACTCTTTGGGTGCTGCTGCACGTTGCAGCAAAGCGTGACTACGAGCTGCACTCCCTCGACTTCTCCACAGCTTTCCTCCAGGGCAGCCTTCACGAGGAGATCTGGCTGCGCCGCCCACCTGGCTTCACTGGGTCGTTTCCTGCGGGTACCCAGTGGAGCCTTCGGCGGCCAGGCTACGGTCTCCGTCAGGCGCCCCGAGAGTGGCACGACACACTGAGGACTACAATTGCGGCTCTTGGATTTGCTCCTTCCTCTGCTGACCCGTCACTGTTTCTACGCACCGACACTATCCTGCCGCCGTTCTACGTTCTAGTGTACGTTGACGACTTGGTTTTTGCTACTGCTGACACTGAGGCACTGGCCCTTGTGAAGGTGGAGCTGCAGGAGAGACACACCTGCACTGACCTGGGTGAGCTGCGTAGCTATCTTGGCTTGCAGATCACCCGGGACAGAGCACGCCGCACCATCACCCTGACTCGTTCACACATGGTGCACCAGGTCCTTCAGCGCTTCAACTTCCAGTTCTCCTCGCTACAGCCCACTCCTCTGTCTACCGGCCACTCGCTCTCAGCTCCACCTTCGAACGAGTCCGTAGAGCCGAGTGGTCCGTATCCAGAGCTTGTGGGTTGCCTCATGTACCTTATGACGTACACATGACCTGACCTCGCATACCCTCTCAGCCTTCTGGCTCGCTACGTGGCTCCCGGTAGACACCGAAAGGTGCACTGGGATGTTGCAAAGTGGGTACTGCGTTACTTGTGCAGTACATCGGGCATGGGGCTAGTGCTTGGAGGACAGGGTTCAGTGGTACTTACAGGACACTCCGACGCTTCTTGGGCCGACGACCAGGCGACTCAGCGTTCGTCACATGGTTACACCTTATGTCTTGGCTCTGGTTCTGTCTCGTGGAGGTCCACTCGTTCTTCTTCTGTGCTTAGTTCCAGCTGTGAGACCGAGATCTACGCTGGGGCCATCGCTGCACAGGAGCTACGCTGGCTGACCTACCTGCTGACCGAATTGGGGGAGCGGCCTCGTTCTCCTCCAGTTCTGTACGTCGACAACAAGGCAGTGCTTGCCTTGTGTCACGAGCAGAGACTGGAGCACAGAACGAAGCATATTGCTCTTTGCTACTTCCTTGCGCGTGAGCTGCAGCAGCGTCGTCGGGTCCTCATTTCCTACGTGGCCTCGCGAGCCGACATTGCTGATGTGTTCACCAATGCCCTTGGGTCTGGTGATCATCATCGTTTCTGCACTGCTCTTGGGCTTGTGCCCACCCTGCCTCACTTGCTGGTTGCTTGACTTGCTTTTTTTGTATACTGATATATATCTTTATACATGCTTGTTTACTTTTTTTTTTCGAAGTTGCGATCAGTGTACTGCCTTGATATTATAACTCTGCATGTGAACTGGCCTTGTGGCCGCTTGCTTGTGCTCAGATTGTGTGTTGTCCTTGAGATCCACCCTGAGCTTTGCTTTGCTTTGTTCTTTTGCTTGACTGGTCTTTTGACCGTCTATTGTGTTTGTTATCTCCCACTTAGCCTATGGGGGTGTGTCAAACTATATGTTTGTGTTCTCTCTAGGCTATAATGGGTTAGCCTACAAGGTGTACAATACATTAGGGTTAGTACTTGTACCCAACTCATTCATAGTTCATCCATTCCTGCAGAGTTATTCTGACAACTTTTTTTACCATTCACGTTATCGATACCCATGTTGGTTATTTGTGACATATTTTCCCGTGGAAATATCCAGCTGCTTTGGTACTTCGTCAATGACCCGAATTTTAGTTGGTGTAGTGTATTTCGCTAAGTGTAAGTGTTCCTCCTCCACTCCCTGTTGCCTTCATACGTGTTGGGTTGAGATGATGGCCATAGCGCAGCACCACCACCTCCTCTCACCTTGCTTGAGTGTGCTTGCTGTGCCGCAAAAGACCTCAGTTTGTAGCACCTCCAAGGTAGTACAAACACTGTTGTTTGGTTCGGGTCTGCCGTTTGTATGAAGGAGAATTCCATGGCTGTGTGCTTGCTGGCCGAACGAACCCGAAAGCTGATTGGTTCTCATCAACCACCAAAATTCATCACCATGCACACGCCATCTCGAAGCTGCCGCTAAGGCCACGTCAGCCATCACTAAGCCGGGTCGCGTGCTCACGAGGCACGATTCCATTGGTGTTTCCACCACCGCAACTTTCTCCAAATCCCAGACCCATACAACTTTCCCCAGCAATCGAACCCTGGGTACCGAGGACCCAGCCAAACTGAACCAATCATGTAGCCTTGGTGGGGACAAGCGCCCCCAGGTCTGGAAGCATCACCACGAGGACAAGGGCAAAGCTCCCCCGACCCGAACCAAGCTTTCGCCTCACTCCCCCTCTCCCCCAGAGATCCTGGAGAAACGAACGACTCCCCCGCTGCCCTCCTTCCCGAACGAACGACTTCCCAGCTTCGCGCCTCCGTGTATCGTGGGGTGGCCCGCCCACAACCGCCTCACCGCGGAACAGCATTCTCCCTGCCTTCGTCGATTCTTCCTCGTTCCCCGACGGCGAGGTTTGGCTGAGCAACTGGATTCCAATTTCTTCAGCTCACTGCCTCTCGTTTTACAAATCCCATTTTAGCCCTGCTCCTGAGCTTGTCCAGTTCGCACAAAAGAGCTTATTCCCCTCGGGATTTCTTGGTGCTGCTTACTGCTGTCTTTTTGCGCTGTTCCAAAAAGCAGCCTCGGCAGACCTTTTTGCGCTCACCATGCGGACGAGTAACTCAGCTATGGTCGTGTTCCCGCTTGCCCTGCTCCTCCTGGTGACATCATGGCCCGCTAGCACGTTCGCGGATTTCACCGACGACGCGACGCTGGAAAAGGAGCTCTCTTTGGCGGGGCTCACGGGATTCTTGAGCCTTCTTAAGCAAGGCGGCCTCTTGTCGGAGCTGGAGCTCCGCGCGCGAAACGGATCCGCCGTTACTCTCTTCGCGCCGACCAACGAGGCGCTCATGCGCACAAACCCCGCTTTCCTCGCCTTTCTTAAACTGCAGCGCAACGACGCGATGCTTCACGACGTGCTGATGTACCACGTCATCGAGAAGCCCGTGTCGGCCTTCGCGTGGGAAGGCTCGTTCAGCACGCTGCAGGGCGCGCCGATTCAACTCCACGTGGACGCTCTCGCGTTTCAAGTTGGCGACTCGACCGTGAAGCAGTACAAGGCCGTCACCATGTCCATGGGCCTGGCTGACGGGCAGAGCGTGGAGGTTTTCGCGGGCACGATCGTGGTTCATTCCATCAACTCGCTGCTCGTGCCGCCGGCTCTCGACGAAGCATTTTTGGAGACCGACCTGAACACGATCCTTGCCGAAGGAAACGAATCTGACGGCGATCAGGGCTTGTACGGCTCGGACATCCGGCGGTCCATGCTCGCCGGGGCACCAGGCTCCGAGCCTCTCCCAGGCCCTCCTGTCACTTCCTCTCCGCCACCCCCGCCCAGCCCCACTGTCCCAGTCCAGCCGCTCCCTACCCCCCCGCCTGCTCCCACAACCGCGCCTCCGCCTCCCAAATCCGCTCCTGGTACGGATGCTCCTCTTTGCCCTTGTCCCAGGGATCTTAACCTGTGTTTGTGCCCTGTGTTTGCAAGTGTTTTCCTGCTTCCATCCCTTTTCGCTTGTGCTTATGGACCCACATTTTCATCTCCCCGCCTGACCTAACTCGGCCCGCATCCCTTGCTTGCGTTCTCCCAGGTTTGCTGGCTCTCCGGCAGCTGCTTCCAACCATGAGCTTCGCCTTCCTCGCCCTCGTGGCGTTGTTGTGAGGCACGTCGTTATCGGCTGTCGTGGGCCCTGGGTCGGGGACTAGGAGTGGGTCGCATTGCATCCCAATTACGAATCCCAAGGTCGTCGTTCGCCTCGTCATCCCCTAAGGTCGTTGACACGCATCACGCCTGTGAGCATCTCGAAGTCCACTTCCTGTAGACTTCTTACTACAGGGAGCTATTTATTGCCTTCTGTTGCCTTAGAAAAAATATGTATGTAACCTCTGAAAATGACTCGCTGCAAAATAACACCCCCTGAGCACAACATATACAAGCGGCAGTCTGAAAAAAACATGCCAGTTTTTAAAGACAGGAATCCGAACGGTATCAGAATGGGTTAGGTACCTGGGGGGTATGGTATCTAGGCACATGGCTATCAGCCTGGCGAATTCGGAACAGCTTTTGCTTTCTGTAGGAGACCTGATGACATAGCACTAGCATATCATAGCACTAGGATTACTGGTGGACCACACGATAGTACTTGGAGCAGCAAGTCCAGTGTTTCATACGGCTTTGTTCACCACCAAAATTAGTACAATACATGAACTCCATACCATATATAGAATTAGAATCATCAGCTACGTAATGAGCTAAGCCTGGGAATGCTTGAAAAGGTTTGCCCTGTGAGATGCTAAGAAGATGGTCGCATTATTAACATAGCACATCAAACCTTCCCTGTGCAATAAACGCAATATAATGTATTCAATCTCAGTGAATATGAGAGGGCTGTATACCAATGCTGTTGCAAGCAAAGCACAAAAAAACATCATCCGACCACTACCATATCGAGGAAACCTCGAATCGCCCTCAGTCCACCAAATGAGGGATGTAGCGTCCCAGCTCGCATTCTGCAACTTCGTGTGCAAGATCGCCCCACGTCTTTTGGCTTCTTCCACCGCTTTGCAGCCACAGACCCCGCATCTCCACCGACCAACATCACCAATGCTTCAAGTCCATAACCGCGGCAAACCATTCGACTGGTTTCGTCAATTCGTAACTTTCGTTTCGTCAAGTCTATCACCTCACCACGAAAGGTCAATGGACTCCACGGGTGGCTCTCTCCTCATGGTGAGCCAGTGTTTCCAAGTAAACACGTCCTGGACAACTTCCGCCTTTTCGGGAGGAGCCTCCTGCCGCTGCGTGTTCCGCGCCGCTGCTCGCGCCTTTTCCAACGAGTAGTAGTGTGACATCGTTCCACGGTTTAGATACCCTCGATGCGCTCAACGCGTTCGACGCGCTCGTGCTGTTCGTCAGCAATGCGGCTTTCTGGGTGCAGTTACAGGGCACGGGCTTGCTTCTTCTCCTCGCTGTCCTGTGGTTCAAGGCCTCTCAGCTGCGCCTCAACGAGGCGCGCAGGATAATCAGGGAGAGACGCACTATAGCAATACGTGATGTGGCGAACGTCGCTGCCCTCGATGTTGCCAGTGGTAGTTCTGACCCTGGCAATCTCTCGCAGGACGCGCGTCACGCGCAGCAGCAGCAGCAGCAGCAGCAGCAGCAGGAACAGCACGAGCTTCCCAAAGTGACGGTCGTTCTCGCCGTGAAAGGCTGCGCGGGCGACGCGGGGATGAGCAACTGGCGCTCGCACGTCCAGACTCTGTACGGCGGCGCGTCGGAGTTCATCTTCTGCGTGGAAACCGCCCACGACCCCGCGTGCCGCGCGGTTAAGGCCCTCCAGCGCGAAATGTGCGGACTTGCGCAGATACGCCTCGTCGTGGCGGGCCTCGCGACGCGCTGCTCGCAGCAGATCCACAACCAGCTCGCGGTCGCGATGCGCGCGGGAGCGGACTCGAAATACCTCCTCTTTCTAGACGACGACATTCAAACCCACCCGGACACGCTCACCCTGCTCGTAACAGCCATGGAGGAAAATCCCAACGCGCTCGTCTGCACGGGCTATTCCTTCGACTTCCCGGGTCCGGACCCGCAAACCAGGCGCAACCTAGCGGCATACGCGGCCATGGTGTATCGCGTGCCCGTGCAGCTCGCCATGGCGTCGGGCGGGAAGCAGCTGCCCGTGTGGGGCGGCTGCATGATGATTCGCCTCGACGACCTCCGCGCCGACAGATACGGCATGTTGACGGCGCTCAGCGCGCGCGGGTACAGCAACGACCTCACTCTCTCCGCCATCGCCGCGAGCAACGGCCGCGACGTCGTGTGCCCCGCGGCGGCGATTTTCCCGGGCATACTCTCCGGGTCGTGGACGTTTCAGCGCTACTGGAACTACGTGCGCCGGCAGACGTTCGCGCTCACCACCTTCTGCTCGCCCGTCGCGCTCGCGCTAAACGCGTGCGCGTTGCTGCTGTACGGGTACGGCTCGTTCTGCCTGCTCGCGCCGCTGCTTCCTTCGGCTCTCCGCGTGGCCCGCTTCCTCTCGTCTGTAGCTCGTGGTGAACCTGCATGGAACCTTCCGAGTACCGGTCCTGACTGGGATCCCTACCCTTCCAGCCCCTCCAGTCTCATCAGTTCTTTCATTCTCTCCAGTCTCTCCGGTGTTTCCAGCTTCAACAGCAGCGCTGCCATTGCGCTCATCCTCGTCAATGCAAGCCTCTTCCTCGCGCTGCTGTACCTCTCACTGCTCGCCCTCGCGACGCTCGCAGTGATCCGCCTGTTCCACACCACCTTCTCTCTCTGCAACCTCCTCTCCCCCGAGAAACCCCCTATTCGTCTGGGCAGCCTCAGCCTGATGCTGGGCGTGGCGGGCATGCTGGTCAATCTCGCAGTTGTCCCTATTGTGTCGGTGTACACGCTGTTACAACCCGCGATCACCTGGGCTGGAATCACGTACGTGCGGCGCTGGGGGCTTATTGTGGAGGTCAGGCATCCCCAACATCCGCAGGTGGGGCAGCAGCAGCAGCAGCAGCAGCAGCACAGGCAGTTGAGGGACGGGGGTGTGACGGGTGAAAGGGAGGAAATGGAGGGAACGATGGAGGTGGAGATGAAAGAGGAGGATGGCGAGGAGGAGCAGCAGTGGCTGCTTCCCCCCCTGGCATCATCACCAGTTTCTGGCCTCAAGCAAGCAGGTTGATCGGGGGAGACTAGACAGAAAGTGGGCGCCAAACCCACCGTGATGTAGGCCTGTGTGGGGGGCTCTGTAGGACACAATTACTCTCACTGCTCAAGGCACTAGAGCTGTTCGCGTGCTGGTGTTATGTGGGACAGTGGTTGTTGTGGTTGCTTTATTGTTTTCCGCTCTGAAAATGACATGACGGGGTCACTGATGCCATGGGGCCACTGCTTGCCTGTACATATGCTGGGATGGTTTGGAGAGATAATGAGGGGGCTAGTTTTGGAAATAAGCAGGCACTCTGCATTGACAGCCCTTGTACTACCGTAGTTAATGCTACTATACGGTCATGTGCCAAGATCCCAGAATGTTAGACAAGAGGATTATAAACATAGGGTAGGCTATCTAAGACTGAGCATGAGCAACTCATCTGAGCATGAGCATGAGCAACTCATCTGAGCATGAGCATAAACAGGCCTAATATGCAAGTGTTGACAAAACAAGGGGCAGCCACACTGCCCCAGTGATCCCATGCCCCTCCCACTCAACCACCTCCCACAGGCAAAGCCTCACTATCTGGGAAGTGCGGCCCTGCATTCTGCATGATGAAGTCCTTCATGCTGTCTGTAGGCTCCATGAGCGCCAGCTTATATGGGGGATTGAAAGCAGGCACGGTTCCAACAAACTCGTGAAGTGTCGACCCGTTCTCCAGCCGATTCCCATATGATCTTATCGTGCCGGTATTGTCAAACGTCGGGGTGCTGAGGGCCCCACCGAACCATGGTGTCACCTCCTTTCTCGGCCCCCCTATAAAATAATTCCTCTCGGACCGAATCCGCCCATACACCCGCGCGCCCAAGCAGTAATAACCCCACGACGTGTACAGTGAATTGGCCACGTGGCACGAGCCCCACCTGCAGTGCGGCTGCCTTTGCCCCGCGCGATCGTACCAGTTCCGATACACTGTCACGCGAAGGTTCCGGTCATAGTAAGCATCGTCCGCTGCACCCAGCAGCTGGACGAAATTCTCGTTGTGAAAGTAGGTGTTGGATACGGTCACGTCTGTGGCGCCGTAGACAACGCTGATGGTGCCGCGCGCCGCGTTGTACACCTTGAGATGGTCTACCCACACTCGCGTGGTGTTGCGGATGTGCAGAATGTCCGTGTCGCCCGGAATGTCACCCACTGGAGGAGAGGGGACGGGAGAGGAAGTGCAGGGAGGTGTCTCGTCAAAATGAGAAGAGAGGAGAGGAGAGGAAAGGCGAGGTAAAGAGAGGATAGGCGAGGCGAGGAGAAGAGAGGAGAGGAGAGGCGAGGAGAAGAGAGGAGAGGAGAGGCGAGGAGAAGAGAGGGGAGGCAGGAAAAGGGAGTGAGGAAAGAGGTGGAATGCAGGGCACACGAGCTGGGCAGAGAGTGGTGTGACTGCTGGGTAAAGGGATGCAGCTCATTGGTTGGTGGAAAGGAGCCCGGCAGTAAAATGGAGACAAGAGAAGTTAATTGAGGAGAGAGGAGAGGAGCATTGGTTGTGGTTGCCCCCTGATTCCCCACGCACCCATCCATCCATCCGTCCACTGACGCACCTTCAAGGTTATGGAAAATCACATTCGAGACCCAATAGGCTAGAAGCGGCCCGCCGGTGATGACGATCTGGTGGCCGCGCCCGTCGATGGTGGTATCCCCGTTAACATAAAGCGCCTGAACCAGTGTGATCGTCATAGGTTTCGCGAAGGTAATATACACCCCGTCCGTACAGTATTTCATCGCCCATCGCAACGACCCTTCGGTCCAGCCAATGCTGACATCCTCCGCAGTGGTAACCACGTAACCCGTCGGGTACCTCCCTCCGCAAGTCTTCCGGAAACCACCTGTTACACCACTGGTAGCAGCGTAACCCATGGCGCACTTGTGCAGGTTGGCGGAACCGGCGCCAGCTGACGTGTACGGGCAATCCGGGGAACCACCCGCCGCCGCAGGGGTAGTTGCGCCGTTGCCAGACGGCGTGGGATGCTTTGGTTTCTTCTTGTAGGATTGTTGCTGCTTTCGGATACGTTGCTGGGTCTGCTCGTGCTGCCACGAAAGCTTGTCCGCGAGCCGCTGCCCAGCACCGCTGAACAGCGGCGCGGAAAGCGCCGCTTCGTCCGCGTCGAACCACGTGGCGAAGTTCCGCTGCTCTAGCAACTCCCGCCCACCAATTCCGCCGTGGGACGCGCCGTCATGAGAAGCGGAGCCGGGTAGATTAGACGCGGAGAGGAGCAGCGAGAGAAGTGGTACGACGAAGAAGAGACGCCGGGGAGCAGACGCCATGGATGCGCGGAGGTGGTTTTGAAAAGCAATCGCACGGCGATGCAACCGCGGAGCGGGCGCTGTAGGAACAGAGGGCGGTGGTTAAGGGTCAAGGAGCTAGGCTACATAGGGTGTTGTCAAGGCCTCCCGCCTTCAGTCACCAAACGGTGATAATGACGGGGTTGCGTGTCGAGCAGCGCGAGCATGACGTCGTAACTATCGCGTGGATTAGGACGGGATTGTGTATTACTCTGGCTTACCACACACCGTTCCGGTCAGTACCCTCTCTAGAATCGACTCAAACGTCACTTAACGTACCGCCTCGACATAGTCCTCAGTGTGAACGAGAAAGTAGCGCACTAATTAGTTCGAGCTGTGGACTGGAGCTGGTCTCGGCTGGAGGATCGAGCTGTCGCGTTTTTGTAGCGCGCAGAAAGGATACGCAATCACGACGTTGGGAGGCTGGCGAGAATGGCGGATTCCGATCCAAGCCGTGTGACGCTTGCGTCTGAGCTGAGAGAAATTGTGGGCAGACGCGTTTTATGTAGGTAAGTGCGGCACCGTCTATGTCTGGCAGGCTGAGGGTTCCGTCCGAGGCTTGAAATGAACTGGGACTGTTCTAATGGTCGGATAGGTTGCTCACAGGCGGCAGGAGAGGAAAAAACAAGAGCGCCATGAGGAAGCTACCGATAGCACGAGTCGCGAAATGGTGCGCCATTATACGAAAGTAAAATGAACATTGTTCCGGTGGTGGGCTGGTCGGTTGATGTGAAAGGCGGGTGCTGTATTGCGCGCGGTCGAAGAAAGGGGGAGGGAGGGGATTGTCGGTGGTCGGCGGAAGTATGGGGTGTTGTAAAAAGGGGGAAGAGGGGGAAAGGGAGAGAACGTGAAGTGGCGGAAATGCAGGGGAGAGAGGAGAAGGACAGCGGGGAGAAGATGTACGGTGGAAGAGTCGGCGAGGAAGGGTTTAGAAGTGTATAAATGGGCTACCTCGGTGGGCTGACGGCGAGCGGAACAATTCCAGGAAGAAACAAAAGGGAAAATATGCCGTTTGTAACCATCATGGGACTCAAAAACATTTTTGGTACAAAAATAAAGAGTACGGTCACTGCAAACGGTGTTTTCACGCGACTGATAAAGCGTTTCACGGAATCAGTCACAATCAGCTGGTAAAAAAAAAAACGCGAATGGTCACAGATGAAACTCCCGCCAAAACAGAATGAAACCCAGAAAGAACCTGGATGCATTTTCGGATGATCAACCCTAAACACGTAACTCGCCAGGTGTTTAGGGTTGATCCGTTCCCAAACCGCATCCGATTCCGATTGGGTTTTAGTTTTTTTACAAGTTCGCAGATTGGTTGGGCGCGAGCGGGAATTTTGTTGAGTTTCAAGTTTTTTTGGCGGGAGTTACATGTGTGACCATTCGCGTGATTTTTACCTGTTGTTAGTGACTGAATCCGTGACCCCGCTTACCAAACCCGTCAGAAAACCCGATGCAGTGACCGTACGCGTTTTTTTTAACCATTCACGTTATCGAGTTCCAAGTTTGTTACTTGTGGCATATTTTCCCGAAACAGAATTCGCTTGCTATGTGCTTGTGGTGTGAACTTGGAGGAGCAGAAGTCGGGGTGATGGTGAGGGGAGGGCATCCATGTCGCAGAACCGAGGTGATGCTGGAGAAGTATGGTTTGCTGAGGTGTTGCCGTGAAGAAGGTGCCACCCATTCATGTATGGTTCGCATGACACCCGATTCCCGAGTCGCGAATAGGATGTCGGGTGTGTAGGGCAAGAATGTTGCAACGCAAGTCTCGCGTGAACAATGTGAGGCGGAAATTGTTTCTTTGACTGACGCGGAGTGACATGGTCGAGGGAATGACGAACCGCCGTGCTTTCTTGTCTCCAATTCCAACGGGCAGTGGTTTTTACAAACCTCCTGCCACGCGGTCAGTTTTGGCCATCAATACTCATTTTGTAGGGTTTTACGAGTTTTTAGATCACTTACGATTTCTGCCCCAGGCGAGAAATACAACTGACTTCCCTGAATAATCGTTACGCCACCCAGGAAACACGTTTGGAACAGTGCAAACAATCATTTCGCGCTGATATTTTCCCTCAACCGTGGAAGTACAGTACTTGTTTGACGGGCGCGCAATTTTCCCACACTAACGTTTTCTGTGTGGCCCGTAACAAGCACACGGATGGCCCGTATGACAGCTCGAACGGCTCAGATCGCAAATTTTTCCGCGTGTACAGTTTTTATGGACAGAAATTCCACTCCCGCACCGTAGAGGTCTGACGAGTGGCCCGTGAAGCAGTTTTGGAGGACCACATAGCAGCGATTCGATCGCACCGAATTTCCCGCGTTTGAATTCACATTTGCGCGAAAATAACGAGGCCATCATGGTTGTTCAGTCATCACGGTTGTGTCCATTTCGTCTTCACTGCACTGGCCGATTTGGTGGCCCTTTCTAAGTGGTATAGTCTACCCATAAGTACCAAGCTCAGCCATTAGTTGTGCCACGATCGTTTTACTCCTCAATAGCTGCCATGTCGGAACCCAGGGAACGCGCCGAGCGGATTGCGAATAACATTATAGAGGCAATGAGAAACGTTCCCCCCGTAGCCCGTGGCCAACCAAAAGCTCCTAAGGATAATGCCCCATTGAGGCAAGGATGTATCTACTCCTCGAGGGATAAGGCCCTCAAGGCTGTGCAGGCCCACGCGTTGCATCATCGTTTTGGATTCGCGACTGTGGAGGTGGCGGACGCGCACGTGATTCTCCAATGCAAAACCGCCATGTATGGAGAAAAATAAAGAGTACGGTCACTGCAAACGGTGTTTTCACGCGACTGATAAAGTTTGCGGCTGCTCGTACCTCCATGATCCATGCGGCTGCTCCCCATTTTCTGTGGCCGTTTGCGGTCCGGTACGCCGCGCATCAGCTCAACCTCTGGTCCCGTGTCTCCTTGCCGGAGACCTCGCCCACACTGCATTGGACGGGGGAGGTTGGCGATGCGTCGGTGTTCCGGGTCTGGGGTTCTCGTGCCTTTGTTCGCGAAACGTCCGCGGACAAGCTCTCCGCCCGTGCTATCCCCTGCGTCTTCCTTGGCTTTTTCCCTGACGCGCCTGGCTGGCAGTTTTACCACCCCACCTCGCGCCGTGTCCTCCCTTCTCAGGACGTCACGTTTGACGAGTCGGTTCCCTTTTACCATCTCTTCCCCTACCGCTCTGCCCCTCCCCCACCCCCGCCGCTCTTCCTGGCTCCCGGTCCCCCTCCGGTAGACCCCCTCCCGCCCCAGGGTCTTGCTCCCTCAGGTGTGTCTTAGGTAGACCCTCCGCCTGGTACTGCGCCTGTCGAGGTAGCTGTCGGCCCAGGTGCTGCTCGAGGTGCTGCGTCTGGGGGTACTGCGTCTGGGGGTGCGGAGCCGGGGGGTGCGGAGTCTGAGGGTGCTGGGTCTGGGGGTGTTGAGCCTGGGGGTGAGGAGCCTGGGGGTGCTGAGCCTGGGGGTGCTGAGCCTGAGGGTGTTGAGCCTGGGGGTGCTGAGTCGGAGGGTGCGGAGTCTGGGGGTGCTGAGCGTCCGGGTGCTGCTTCTTTTGGAGGTCCTGTTGGTGCTTCGCCTCGACTGTCTTCGCAGCAGCTGCGTGAGTGGCTTGTTCGGCGCGCACGCCTTCGGAGTGGAGTTACCGGAGCTGGAGGCGCTGGAGACGCTGCAGCTGGAGGTGCTGGAGTTACTGCTGGAGCTGGTGGTACTAGAGGTACTGCGGCTGCTGGTCTTGGAGGTGCTCGTACCAGGGGTACTGGAGCTGCCGGGACTGGTGGTCTTGGGGGCGCTGGAGCTGGAGACCCTACGAAGCCTGGAGCTACTGGAGCTGGAGGCTCTTGTGCTGGTGACGCTGGCACTGGAGGCGCTGGAGCTGGAGTAGCTGGAGTTGGAGGCACTGGCGCAGGAGGCGCTGGAGCTGCAGGAGCTGGAGCTATTGACCCTGGAGTTGGAGATGCTAGAGGCACCTAGCGGCCGCGACCGTACTTCGTTCCCCTGCTTCAGCAGGTTCTTGGTGTCCCGTCTTCTACTAGCCTTACTCCTCCCTTCCTGTGTCCACCGCCTAATGAGTCGCAGCCGACGTTACTGCCAGCCTCCCCATTGCCTGCTCCTTCTCCATACACTGAGCAGTCCGGCGGTCTTACAGAGCGTCGTGAGCCTGCGTCTCGTCCTGTCTCGCCTGTTCGCACTGCTCGCCGCGTTCCTCGTTCGCGTCGTCCTCCTGTCCCTGGCACGCACGCTATGGCACTCCGTCCTTCCTCTGTTCCACTACGTGTTCCTCTACCTGCTCCTCATGAGTCCTCTCTTCCTGAGGTCCCTGACCCTGAGTCTGACCGCGCTCGTGCTGCCAGTCCCAGTGTCTCTTGTCTCCTCGCCACTGCTGTCACTAACCCTTCTTTTGAGTCTGCTGCTGTGTCTGCTCTCGTTGCTGAGCTGCTTGACTTTGCTGCTGCATTTCGTCTAGACTACGCCACTGCTCTTGTTGCTGAGTCTGAGTCTGCGTCTGCCAGTCCTCCGTCCGTCGGGGGTGAGTGTGCTCTTAGCACGGACGTCCTTGAGGACAGGCAGGAGGACTTTGAGTGTCTTGCAGCTGCTGTACCTCGTTTCGCTTCCATGTTGCTTGCCCCTGAGGGAGACCCGGATGCTCCAGACATCCCGACCCCGCGCTCTTACGCAGAGGCGATTACGGGTCCTTACTCCTCTCAGTGGCAGGCAGCCATGGATGCCGAGATGGCATCCTGAAAGTCCACAGGCACCTACGTCGACGAGGTTCCCCCACCTGGGGCGAACATTGTCAATGGCATGTGGATTTTCAGGGTGAAGCGGCCGCCGGGTTCTCCGCCTGCCTTCAAGGCGCGTTACGTTGCTCGAGGCTTCAGTCAGCGACAGGGGGTCGACTACTTTCAGACCTTCTCTCCCACCCCGAAGATGACTACTCTTTGGGTGTTGCTGCACGTCGCTGCTCAGCGTGACTACG